TCCTTCACAAGAAGGAAAACAAGGTGACCTAATTTTGCGTGACACACGCTGGGGGCGGCGCTCGCTCCCCTTTGCTTTGGTGGTAGAGGGAGGCCCTCTCGGGGCGTGACTGACTGACGAAAGGCGCGCTGAGCGGCAAGTGCGCCTGGCGCTGAGCAGGCTGGGCAAGACGGACGCAAAGCCCGGAGCGCAGGGCGGGTGGTCGCTGCAGGCGAGGCGTGCGGCTTCTGCCGGGGGTCCCCTCCCTCTGCGAAGCAGCGAGGAGGTCTCCGGGCAAGCGTCCTCCGTCTCTCAGTGAGCCGTCGTGCTTTTTTGTGGTCCGCAATGACTACTGTCGGCACGTGCTCAGGAATTCAGCGCAGCCCCAGCCATGCTGAAAATGTGCCTGTGTCCAGCGGGAATGCAGTTGCGAGAAAGGAGAACCTGGAGAGGGGATGTGCTGGGGGCGGCCTCCTACGTCCTCCCTCTCCCTGCCAGAGGTGACCCCAGCTCTGCTCCCACTGGAAGGCACGGCCCCGCCACTCAGCGATGGCCCTCCGCTTTTCTCCTGAACCACAGAGCCCAGCAGGAGAGGGTAAAGCAAGGCAGAAATCTCGCCCCGTGGCTTGTTTATCTTTGCAGCACGATTGCACGGTCTCTTCGGATGATGAAGGGGACGTAATCTCCTTTAAAGGGGCAGCATTTATTCCCCAGTGTGCATAGCTTGACCTGTAGAACTCCGTGTGTGCGAAGTGGGCAGAATAACACCAGCCTCTCAGCGCTTCCCTGGGACCAAGGGGGCAGTGCCTCGCTGGCTTTGTTTCTAAGGGATATGTAGGGCATTCCTGATGCGTGGGACTGTGCAAAGACCTCGCTCGACGTGTTTGGTTCGGCACACTTTTGGGACTGGTGCTCGCAGGGGCCGGCAGAGGCAGGAGCGGCACGTGAAGGCGGATCGTCATTCCAATTTGGCGGCTTGGTGGGAAAGCGGCAATGTGGCTCCGGCGAGCTTGGCATCATTTGGTCACTGGTGTGTGGCCATGGAAACCAAGGCCAGTCTGAGTTGCCCCATGAATCATCTGGCTCCTGACTCGGAGCCCAGTCAAGCAAGCTGCCCCAGGGCCTCTGGGACACAAGCAGCCAAGCGCCCGGGGGAGCAAGCGGAAGTTTGGTGGAGGAGGTGCGCTGGAAGAGGAGGCAGAGGCAAAGGGAGAGGGGCCTGCCCTAGCCCAGCCAACAGCCTTTGTTTTTTAGGGATCCGTGTGCTCCGGAAGAAGCAGCTGGAGGGAAGTTCCTGATTAGCTGATTAACTGAAGGGGAGCGGCCTGATCAGTGAGCAGCAGTTGCCTGGGTGGGTGATTCATTCCAGTTCTGGGCACCGGAGTTAAAAAAGATGCAGAAAAGCTTGCAAGGGTCCAGAGGAGGGAAACGAGGATGCTTCAGGGCCTGGAGGCACAGCTCTGTGAGGAGAGACTGGGAGACCTGGGCACGTTCAGCCTCAGGAAGAGAAGGCCGAGGGGGGACATGATGGCCCTCTGCAAGGACCTGAAAGGCTGCCACAAGGAAGAAGGTCAAGCTCTCTCCTCGTTCATCCCAGAGCGCAGGACACAGAATAATGGACTTAAACTAAAGCCAGATTTAGACTAGACTCCAGGAAGAACTTCCTGCCCATCGAAGCAGTACAGCACTGGAACCTCTTACCTGGGGGAACTGTGGGCCCTCCCTTGCTGGAGACATCCAAAAGCGTTTGGAGACTCATGTAGCTCCATGTCCTGCAAGAGCCGGGCTTGGACCTGGTGGCCTCCCAGCCCCTTCCAGCCCTACTCTTCCAAGCTCTCCAGCTTGCACGGGTCGACCTGGTGCCAGTGTGCCGTCCGTGAAAGGCACCTTGTCCAGACAGGACTGCAGTGGAGATAAAACATGAGCAACGCACTGCCCCCTGGTCTCTGGCCTCTTGCACTAAGGCATATCTGGTTAATCAGAACCAAAAGGGGGACAGAAATGTACCCATAGGGCCTGGGGAGTGACTTCATTTCCAGGAAGAACAGAGCTTAGACCTCCACACTGTGCTTTGGGCCTTTCCCAAGACCTGCCAGTGCCCGAGTGGGGGGGGGGGGGTTGGATTGGACCCACAACAACTGGGACATTGTCAGTGGGAGCCCTGATGGCTAACCTGCCCTCTGCGAGTTTGCCATGCGACGCTCTCAGCACAGAGGGCCTTTCAATAGATGGCTCTTAACACGACCAGTCCAAAGGCCGCCCTCAGCTGTCCTATTCCTTCCTCCCTATTCGATTTTTTGTGGAAGGAACAAGTTGGAAGAAGCAGTGGGAAAACACAGCCCGATAGTTACACATGGAAGACGGCACCTTAGTCTGGACTCTCCGACAATTCCACGAGTGGAGAAAGACAGCGGCAAGAAAGCCCTTCTTTGCAAGTGCCCACGAATCCTCCGGGGGGCTCAAATGCACCGGTCTTGGTGGGTCTTCCAGGACTTGAGCATGGAGCAAGGGCAGCCCCCCTGCGTGGCTTTGTCCAGCTCCACTTTTCTGGCCTCTTTCTGACAGGTGCTGTGGGGAGTAAGCCAATCGGGCAGGACCGCTTGGGGCAGCCACCTCCGCCACGGCGTGTGTGGGGCAGCAACGGACTGGGCAGTGGTGTGCAGGGCACCCGGCCTCCTCCTCCCATGGAGGAGCCGCCTGCATTTTGAGGCTGCAGCGATGGAGCACTTCTTGCTGAATCCAGGAGTGGTGGCAGCTGGGCGTTCTCTGTGGCTTTGTGCAGGCAGGGCAGGGCAGGGCAGGGCAGGGCAGGGCAGGGCAGGGCAGGGCAGGGCAGCGCAGGCAGAGCGGGGGCACAGGCTGGGCGAGGGGAAGAGGCAGTGGCCGCCCTGTTTCTGTCTCTTACTGCCACAGGGAGTGCCATCTCTTGGGAGGGAGTTCAAGCGTAGTCCGAGGGGGGCTGCCCGCAAGCCCATGTCCAGGCAAAGTTTAGCTCATCCTGGTTTCTGTGGGGAAATCTCATTTTTAAAATGGTCCTCTCCTCTCTTCCCAGGCGCTCTTTCCCTCCCCTGCCTCTCCACTTCTTCATACGAAGCTCTTGGGCCCACCTGCGCCAGCAGTGTCGACTCCTCCGTCTGGTGACAGCTGAAGGGGCTGCCTGAACCTGGCAGCCGCAGCTCCCACCGGGGTCTCGCCAACTGCGCCCGTTCTTCGTGGGAAGGTGCTGTGCCTGAACCTGGACCTGCCCCGCCACCGAGCCGGCAGCCTCCCCACTCCGGCCACCTTCTCCTGGTTGCCACTTGCTGCAGAGACGCAGGTGGCCACTTGCTCCAGTCTGGCAAGGGAAGGCCGAAGCTCCGGGTCCTTCGCATAGGAATCCCGGGCCACTCAGGTGGGCCCTGGGCCCAGCTGAGCGGGGGCGCCTTGGGCAGGACACCTGGGAGCGCATGTGCTCATACAGCCACCCTAAGTCGGGGAAGACTTGATGGCGCACAACCACAGCGGCTGGGACCTGGCAGGGTTTTATGCAACGGCACCTGATCTGGAGAGCAGCAGAAGCCTGAAAGTGGAGGTGATGGGCAGCACCTCCCGGGCATGTGCTGCTTGTTCTCATAACACGCTGTGAGCTTATGGGGCACTGCTGGGGGGGGGGGCGGGGGGGAACCTGCCCTGCCTCTGATCCCGGAGGCAGCATATGTTGACTGGGGCCAGTAGAGCCTTCTCCAGGAACGTTCCAACGCCACCCAGGCTGACAGCCACCGGGGCATCTTGCAGAAGTGACCCCCATCCCACATACCAGCTTCCCGAGAAGAACTCCTGAGGCTCCGATTTTGTGAAAGGGGGAGAAAGAAGAAATTAGTTGCTGCAGTCCACAATCGTGGCCATTCCTGCTCCAGGGTAAATATTTGTGCCTGAGATGAGCAGGGATTTGTATTCACTCTGGAAAGCACGTTCCCCTCAAGAGAACTTTCTTCCAGGATTCCCAAGGTCTCCCTGAAGGCTGCCAGAAAAACAATGTCTCTGGGCCTAGGGGAGATGCTGGGTGCCAGCTCGCCCAGGAGACCTGAACTCCTGGCTGCTCTTTGTAGCATCCTTATCAGAGCCCAAGGATTTCCTTGCTGGCCTGACCCACAGAGCTACACAGCTGGTCCCTGGAAGGCTCCAAGCAGAAGGCGAAGGGGCCTCTGGACACCGAAGCCCCACCCAGCCCCTGGCAGCCGGCTGGAGGGGGCCTGCCACGCAGGCATCTGCCGCGAGGAGGCCTTGCTTTCTGGCCAGCGAGGTGGCTCCTGCCTGCGGCTGGGTGGCCAGGGGGCTTCCTCCCAGCCACCGGCGCAGAAGGGGCTGTCGCTTGCTGGGGCGAAGCCCACCTTGTTTGCTCGGACTGGATGTCCTTGCGCCGACGTTTCAGCCGGAATTCGTGCCGAACGGCCAGAGCAGGGAGCCGCCCCGTACCTGGGACGGCCAGCCAGGAGCTATAGGGACGGGGGTGCTTCCCAGCGGGATGGCCTAAAGGCCCCCGCCCCACCCTCGGTCCAAGTTGGAAAATCGCGTCCGGAGGGGAGCGAGACGCGGGCGGGAGCCCGGGCGCATCCTCGGAGCGGTGTCTGGCGAGGCGTCGAGGGGGCCCGGCACAGGCGAGCCGCCCCGCGGGGCGCAGCGGCGCGCCCCGCCCCCGGGGGCGCTTGCCCCCGCCCGCCCGGCAGCGGCACGCACCCGTCCCCTCGGCCGGCGCAGCTC